TAATAAATTATTTGCAAATGAATAATCCATAATGAAATTATCTCTACGAATTTCAACCGATATAATTTGCGCATATAAACCAAGTACGTACTCGTCACCTCGCGTACATGGTTTTCAATTACATAATTTCCACATAAGACTCAATGCCTAAGGGGTAATTCCCCCAACCAAGGTTAGGCAAGATACTTACCTTGACAAAATTAAAACGATACTTTAAATGATCTTCGTGAGTGAAGCCACCTCTGGACGGCCCAAATCTGAAATTCGCCCCTTAATAAAACTACGATAGTCCACCATACTAGACAAATTTCAATCTACAACAATGCAACACAATTACACCAATATTAGCAAAATTTCTATACTTTAAATCATTTAGACATTTTATCAAACATGTAATGTGCATATTTTTCTACAACCTCCTTCAATGGAGTTTCTTCACCTAACAACCACTTTCCACACAAATGATTGACCTCACAATCGTCTTTAGGTCATCCACAACTTCCCTTAGCATATGTATGTCCAACAATTCACTCCCAACCCACAAATCTTATCAATTAATTCATTTTACAATCTCTACAATACCAATACACCTAGGTTGGGCACTTATTGCTTCCAATCACCATCTCATAAGTCCTAACACATATTTCGTACATAAATAATCACCATGAATTAGTTAGAGATGGTAGACATACCTCTTGTGGACCAATTTGAAAGACAACTTTTGGGGTGTTCTTGAGATTTTGAAGAAATCCTATGGAATCCAATCAAAACCTTGTTGTAACTAGTTATTGAGAGGTGAAATCATCAGAAAAACACACTTAAAAACTCATCTTAGGTAGTATGAATACTCTTGGATGACTTGAGGATGAGAAGGGAGGTTTAATCTTTAAAGAATGAGGCTATTTCTCTATCCCCATCCCTTTTATTTCAATTTCATACCTTTGGCGTCCCGGTCCGTGCCCAGCGCCAACCAAAACGCCAAAAAAATTTTACTTCTGACTTTATCGTTTTGATTCGCGTGCCCAAAACACGGCCTATTTTTCTGACATGATAATCTTTAGTAAAACACCTATAACTTTTTATAGGAACATCAAAATGACAAACGGTTTGATGCATTGGAAACTAGACTCAAATGTCTTTAATTTGATAGTTATATCACCACCTAATCCTTTATATGTTGGTAGTTTCATGCGTTTGAAGTCGTATCTTGTGCGAATTTATTTGAAACTTTAGCTCATTGCATAGCTCTCAACTTGTCTTAGTTCTAGGGATCTCCTTAGACCCTAACAACATCCAATACACCTCCTACACTTAATATCATGATCATCTAAGTTATTCCAGTCCTTAACCTCTCGTGGAAAGGCAAGACGACACTTAAGCGACTTGTGAGCGTGCTTATGGCCTCAGACTAATAGGAAATTCGAGGGGCCTCACATCCTCCAACAATACTAGAATCACGAATCGCGCATCGATTCAAGCCTAAGAAACTTATGAACTTCCGAATTTCCAAACTCGACCTTGTACGCAAGTCATATCACATATTATGAAGTTGTTCGAGACCTTAAGTCATTGAACGGGACGTAAATTCTCATAACGACAAGTCGGGTCGTTACAATCAGGTATCATCTTAAATCTCTTAAATAAGGTTTTACGTGAAGTTTCTATAGAAACCACAACCAAAGGCATGTGGAAAAAATTGAAAATCTTGTATATGAAGAGAACGGTGGAAAATAGACTTTACTTGAAGGAGAAACTTTATACAATTTGTATGGGTGAAGGTACCTCTATTCTCTCTCATCTTGACACCTTTGATTCCATTCTTATGGATTTGAGTAATATAGATGCTGAAACTAAAGATGAGAATCAAACCGTGTTACTGCTTTGTTCTATACCCCCATCTTTTAAGCATATAAGAGATATTATTCTTTATGCAAAAGATAGTATCTCTTATAAATATATTAAATCTATCTTAAAATCAAAAGAACAGATAGATATTGATATTATTAGGGAAGTTAGTGGAACTCAAGCGGAAGTTGGCTTGTTTGTTAGGGGCAAATCCGACTCCATATCCAGAAATAATAATTTAGATTGTCGCTATTGTCATAAGAAATGCCACATTATCTCTTAATGCTATAAACTAAAAAATAAAGAAAAACATAAAGAAATAAAAAATGAGCACAAAAATACTGACACCGCTGAAGCTAGTGTAGCAACTGATGAGATTGAGGGAACTATATTTTTAGCAACTGAAACTAGCTTCAGATCAGACAATGAGTGGATTTTAGATTCCGGCTGTTCATATCATATGTGTCCTAGCAGGGACTTGTTTTCTACATATGATTCAGTTGAAGGTGGAGTTGTCCATCTGGGTAATAATGTTACTTGTAACGTTATTGGCAAAGGTACAATTCGGATCAGAATGCACGATGGTGTGGTGAGAACTCTCACCGATATTAGACATGTTCCTGAGTTGAAGAAAAATCTCATCTCTTTGGGCACTTTAGAATCCCTTGGGTGCAAATTCACTGGCGAATGTGGAGTTCTAAAAATATTTCAAGGTGCTCTTGTGATCATGAAAGCACACAGATCTGGTTCGTTGTATACTTTATTGGGATCCACTGTTATATGCCCTACTACAGTTTCGGTATCAGACAACTTGTCTGATTTTGATGGCATTAAATTTTGACATATGTTCATTGGGCTTTTGCGGAGAAGGTGAAGCAAATTTACTATATCAGCCAAAATTAGGCCAAGGTGGAGATTTGTAATTATGGTCAATATTTTGGCTAGTGGAGTCCATCTCAAGCCTAGTTGCAAAGTAGACTTTGTTAGCAATATTCTTTGGGATCCAAAAATATTGCATTGTGTGGTGGATATTATTTGCACAAGTTGTATCTTTTCTTTTACAACTAAGAGGGCAAGGCTTTTTTTCATTTGAAACACACCAACAAGACTTGAGTCTTCATTTCTTGTTTCTTCTCCTCTAGTAATTGAGAGTATTTTGTAAGAGAGTTGAGTTATAGGAAACGCTTGTGTGATCCCCTTTCTTTGGAGTGATCTTGTGAGGTTATTCTCTCGCGGGTATTTGGAATTAATTCGAGTATTTACTCTAATTTTGTATGCTCTTTTGTACTCTTGTTGCTATGGTGAAATTGCTCTTCTCCGCTTGTGGACGTAGGTCACACTGACCGAACCACGTTAAATTGGTATCTTCTTTATATGCTTTAATTGTCGTTGCTATCAACTTGCATTGTCTTTATTATTATCATTAGAATATTGTTTGGCTAAATTCCGTACTACCCGAGTTCCTGATCCTAACAAATCCCGTTGTTGTTTGCACTAATTAATGATTTTGCAGGGATTGAACGTCCATGCACAGTAATAATCAGGACGCCACACTGGAACCTTCCAGATTATTTTCCGTCGGGGTTCCCTCTGGCAAAACTCTATCTAAGTCGATTCTCCGAACTTATGGTGCATAAGCCCAGTGAAGGCCTTCTTTTGTATCTCGTGGCTACTATTCTTTCACCTCTGGTAATTGTTACTCCCTGTATATATCGTACGTGTGGAATAAACTCACAAATCATGAGTAGTACTACTAATTAATATGGCTGTTGGAGTCATGAATGCATAATCGATTTCTCACTATCATATTTTACAGAGATGGGGATTCTCAAAATTTGTGGAAAGCCATATAAAACACAAGCTCAAGCTTTCAAAAAATGGAATGGTTCCAGAGCATAGTTTCTTAAACGAATTGAGCGCATGTTTAGTTTCTACGGTGCCGGAGGGCTTCTAAGACAGAGTTGAGGAAGGGCATCTGAAGCTGAAGAAAGCAAAGAGTTTTGGATTTACTAAAGAAGGAATCGTGAACCAATTAAGTCGGACTTGGTCATACTCGCTACTGGCTGGAAGGGAATTGACAAGCTCAAAAACGTATTTGAATCGACAGTTTTTCAGGAATACATTCTGCAATTCCTCTCTATAGGTACGTAATTAAAAGCCTTATATTCTTTGGGATGAAAGGATTGTTTATGCAGTGAATAATAATGTAGCACTTGTTTATGCGATGACTAATAATAGCGGGATTGTTACCTCATGACCTGAATTAAACACTATGCTCATATTCCACGTATACACCTTTCCCTTATAAAATAATACATGAATTTGCATATGATTAGTTTTATCAAAACCAATAATACAGAGTTTAGTTTTCATTATTAAATTCCGTATACATAACTTATGCAAAATTTAGTTAATAGGAAAATCAAACGTTGTATTAGTTTCGTATATTTGGAACTAAACTAACCATGTGTCTAATTGTCATATAACATTCTGGATTGTTATTATTATTATCAGGGAATGCATTCATCCCAAAACACCACAGCTGGCAATAATTGGATTCTCAGAAAGCGTGGCAAACCTATACACTTGAGAAATAAGGTGTCGATGGCTGGCAGAGCTTCTTGATGGGAAGTTTAAACTACCTAATGTCAAGGCGATGGAGAAAGACATAGCAGAATGGGATAAATACAAGAAAAGATACAGCAACAAGTACTACAGGAGATCATGCTTTGGTGCATTGCATATTTGGGACATGGGTTGGAATCCTAAGAGGATAAAGGGTCTCGTGGCGGAGTGGTTCGAACCTTATGGTCCGTCGGACTACGCCGGCTAATTCAAGATTTCCCTTTAATTTGTTGCTTTTCTTACATTCTGCTGCGTGATTTTTCTTATTTAAGGCTGACAAGTGAGACTTGCTCGAAACACTATAGATCTTCCTAATTTGGGCTGAAAGCTTTATACATCAGCTTGACATTCATACATACTCTTCTTCTTAATCTAGGCAAAACTTTAAGAAGCTCGGCAGAAAGATTATGCAACAATAATCATCTCTCGGCATCTATGACAAGCAGCTGGTATAAGAATCAGAAGCTAGACTAACACAGACATTTAAACATTAAATTAAAACGCCCCGAAGCTTGTATACATCCAAAGTCTTGCTAATAAAAAGTTGTAGAAAAGATAATTCCGCTACAAAGTTTGCAAGACCTTAAAGGGATTGATTGACCTCAAGAAACTAAAGGAATGACTCTAGAGAGTAAATTCAAGATATGCTAATTAACTTTTTCATTCCTTTCCGTTCCAGCAAGCTGCCTCCTTAAACCAAGATGCCCAACATTATAGAATCCAACATATTGCCCAACATATTTACATAGGGAAGTAGTGTAAATAATTCAATGTACACTTGTTCCGTAGTTGTATAAACCTATCTAAAGATAGGAGCCACAAAAAAAGATAGTGGAAGCAAAAGAAAAAGAGCAATAACTATGTGAGCAAGTATCCCTGAAGGAAAGAGGCTCAGTAATCCTATTTTTAGAGGAAAAGGCTCATCCAACAACGATAGTTGATCAAGCATATGAAAAGGAGGTTTATATAAGTTTCAAAGAAGGCCTGAAAATCGAATCCACTCAACTAATTACCTGAAAGAGAATGCGGAATAAGATAATTAATAACCAGCAAATAATTTTATCAACTTAATAGCAGAACTAGACTATCTTACAAATTTCATATTAATAATCTTGGACAAGGTAAACCTAAAATAAATTATGAAAAAAGCCAATGGGTTATTATATTCTAAGAGGATTTCTGTAGTTCAAAATTGACAATAATGTTTTTTTCCCAGTAGATATAAAGCATCTTATTGCTTCACTTCAATTTACCAAGTATTCAGTTAAAATTATTAACACGGGTAAACATTCACATCATCTTTTTCAGGAAACATATTCACTGCTTTAGCACTAAAATAGCAGACCACCACTTCAAAACTGCACCTACTATGCCATTTGGCAGACATTACTATGGCTTCGAGGTTCTAGGTTCAATTCATCCGAAAGCAAGGTTATCATATATTTTTAGGGGTGTCCTAAATGATTAGTTTTGGAACTATTATAAGACAGGAATTGTCATGCAGGGACAATAATTTAGGAACTGTTTTTCCAGGGAATAAAGAAGTTCCATAAAAACTTTTAAGGAAAACTTAGTTGTTATACCTATGAAATGAGAAATCTACTCACCTTGGCTTCATTAATGTCACAATGCAGAAACCACCAAGGACTTTTCTTTGACAGTAACCTGAATGCAAAAATACCTTGTGATAAAGTATAGAATATTACAAGAATCTCAAAGACTTCAGTTACTCAAACTACAAACACACCAACAAAAGCACTGCTTATCTAGAATTCCTGTAACAAATATGGATATCTGACAGTAAGCACCTCCAGACTCCAATTAAAACAACAACATTTATTGCTGAATCAATGGAAAATACCTCTCAGACCACAAACAAGGAACAATATACAGAGCATCAGAAGAATCTTGTCCAGGAAAAACATGGACCCACATACTTAAATCCATAAAATGCAGTTTTAGTTTGCATGCGAAAGGGAGGAAGATGGAAGATATCCATTACCTGATAATCCCAGCCATCATGCGTAATCCCATGAACAGGGTCAAGCCCAACCAAACACCAGGAAGACCAAGATGTCTAGGAGCAAAAAGCAGAAATCCCGATGATATTGCCCCCACCAGCATCTTTATGCAGAATTAAAAGAGGGATTTTACGTGGTGTAAATATATACTTGGTAAGCATTAATATCATAATGCACTACAAACTTACCATGGAGCGAGCTGCATAAGGGAAGTCTGAAACACCATAATGGAGGCCATCAAAGATAAAGGCAAGAGCATTTATTGGTTGACTGGCACTGACAAACTGCAGCAATTTTAAGTTTTGAACTTAGTTAATTAGCAATAACCACACTCTTCAGAAAATCAGTTAAAGATAAGAAAAATATGTTAAATCGACAATTTTAACGAAAGATTCCCCAAATGGTATAGAGACATACCAATACACCTGTACTAACCACAGCTAACACTTCAGCATCCTTGGTAAATAAAGTAGATAAAGAGCCAAAAGAAACACCTAATGCAGCTGCCAAAAACACACCAGCAAGTAGCCCTATCTGCAAATTATGGGTCCAATCCGATATTAAATTAGCGTAGAGCGTCTCACAACTTGCAGGATAAAAAAAGGAAGTACAAACCTTTAGCACATAGTGTGTAATTTCGGTTACTACCACGTAATCGCCTTTTGATAAATAACTAGCAATCAATGCCTGGAAACAAAGTAGGAATAGTTGCGTCAAATTGAGAAAAGCGTGATAAGATGTATGACAACTATAACTGGTCAAATCCAATAATATGTCATCTGATATATATTCTTCGAAAGCTTCGATAAGCACCCAAAGTTGTTGCCAAGTCGAACATGGTTTTTTTGCTAAACAAGAAAAAGAATAGAGGCAAGTACAGTGAAGCAACATACATGCACAAAAACAAGAAAGGTTCCGATATAGGAGATACATGAGAAGAAAGAAGTTACGAGGAGAATCAGAACCATATCAGACGGGATAAAATAATTTCATTTATATCCAATTTACCTGTGCAGATGCAGCCAGTGCATCTGTGAGGAGGGAGACAGCTAACCAAACTTGTAAGCATATTTGATGAGCAGCCATCGCTACAGCACCTTGACGGGCAGCCATTGATGTAGCAAGTGTCATTGTGAAAAGGACAGAAAGTGTTCTTCCAATGAGGAAACCACCTAAGGCAACACAAATACAAATTACAAAATCAGATGAACTCTTTAACTGCCATGAAAAATACACAGACATGAAATGCTACAAGCATGGAGAGATTGTTGTGGTACAAGCAAAAAGGCGAGTTTGTGTTTCAAATAGGACTAATCCTGGAATACCCATCTCAAGAATAAACACTCACCAGATTTTAAATAGCCACCAAATTGCAGCTCCCCAAATCGTGGCGGTAATAATATCACTCTCTGATTTAAATACCAGATCATAGAAAAGGCCACCAGGTATCTAGAAAAATCGAAGCACATAAGTAATTCATTCATATTAAGATATAGAGACTTGATAAAAAACTAATAGAGAGTGGACAAGAAAAGCAAACATGATTAGAACGAGCAATGAGAAGTACATACTGTGAAATGACAGTGGATATGGCAGCTCCGGATACACCCAAGCCGAAATGATACATAAGTAAGGGAAACAAAAATATAGCTATAAAGTTTCCAATGCCTGCACAAATTAATATGTAACATCAATACAAAGGTATGACTTTAGCTCCATTAACATATCAAGGAAGGACAAAAGAATCACACTGTTAATTCATAAAATTGCATTAACAAACAACTTTAAGGAGTGGAAACCTTATCTTTTTGACATCTGTCACGTAGGACACTTACATAAGATCCTTTTTCACTATCAAATTACTTTCTGTAACTATAAACATCGATTAGATAGTACTCCTTTCACAATCAAAAGAGCGACTAGATATGGGACTCGATAAGTTTCTCGTTGCATTAGATTTTACTCCCTCCGTTTATATCATATTGTCAAGAAAGATTAGCTCAGCCTGGACGATAATCCTGTTGGTTTTTATATAGCTCCTTTTGGAGATAAATTGGGTAGTCTATTTATCCTCTCAGTGAAGTAGTAGCACTCACTCCACTAATTGGTATAATTCCTGAAACTCAGGCATGCAGATTTCTTAAGAGAGAATAACCCCGACTTGCAGTGTTCACAAAAGAACCATACAATTTAACTAATAATGATCCAACTATCAACTTAAAAGATAAATAGGTACTCATAAACTGTCTGCTTCCCTATTCCTGCAAGAACCACCCTTAACTAGGGAAGCTTCTATGGACTGATACCTAGAAGCTGGAATATATATGTCAAAACTGCAAAAATCAAACCAGCAGAAAGAATCTTTGGCAAGCACTATTATCACTTGAACAGCAACGGATTCAAGACTTGCCTAAACAGAAGACTGGAGTCTTTGTATCCTTAAATCCACGGAATATGCCTTGAAGGGCCAAGGAAACTACAAATGCAGGAGCACCAAGAGCACGCAGAGAAAGGAATCTTTTTGCTGGAGCTCTCATAGGTGAAGTCTATAAACAAAACAGTTTTCTTAGTAAGAACTCATAGGAAAATCTTTATGTACGTACACATACAAAACTGTGCATTGAGGGGCTTGCATGCACTAGAAGATAATTGCAATGAAATATTTTATAACCCACAAGTAACTGTTTTCGCAGTTTCCTACCCCAAAACATTGCTTTAGAGGTCATCAGGAGTTTTTCTCCTCCAAACCATATGGGAATCTAGTTATGCTAAGAAGAAACCTGGTCTCTCTTTGTCAAGAATTACAACTGTTGTACTAACTAAGATTATCAAAATAACAAAAACAACTCAATTTGCGAATGTGAGTTCACTAAATGAAAAACTGAGACAACATTATTATGTTCCTTGATTAGGGAATTCAATATTATTGTTCACACTATCAGATTATTAGTAGACATCATCAAGTTGCACAGGTTGATATTGAAGTTGCAACCTAGCCTAATGATTGCATCTTCATTCTGCACCCAAGTGGTGTATAGTACAAATTTCATAAAGGTCTGCCCCTCATTTTGCTTCTGCTTTCCCTATTAAGGGCCCATACCTCCCGGAAAAAAATGAAAATAAAAAGACGTCACACAGACAAAAACAAACAAATACTGTTACTGAAAAATAACCATAAAGGTTATATCAGTTCTAGATTAGCCAGGATGAGGCGTTATAGAAGCATGTATCTAGAAATGGCCTCTCATGAGCCTTACTTTAACGCTTTTTTCCTTCTTCATGATACTATGTGTACTGATGCTCTGGATACATACTTCATAGAATGAAAGCAAGCACAAAAACAAAGAAACCCAGAGGGAAAACAGGGAAGGGACAAAATAAATTTGCCGTCATACAGATGATATGCCCATCAAACCAAGAAGTAGTTCAGATCCCAAAGCCAAAGCCAAAGCTTCAATGATGCCAATGCCAACTGCTAAAAATAATGCTGTAGACACAGAAGAAAACTGATGCCTTTCTGCTACCCCTATGGGAAGTCTACCATTGGTGCCTTCTGCCTCCTCTGCACAACATAAAGATAAATGTGTGTGATAAAAGTCAGAGCACGAATCATAAAGCACTTAGTAGGACCCTCAACTCTAGGTCAGTTGAATGCCTAAGCAATTACAATGCAAGGAATGACAACAAAATAATACAACATCTACCTGACATGTAAACTTTGGTCGCATTCTTGGCAATGTCTTCAGCCACAAAAGATGTAGCAACACTAAGTAGAGGAACATTAAATAGCTTTGAAATGATGTTAAAAACTGATATGGAGACACCCGCTGAAGCTAACTCCACTGAACCTGTAAAACAAAAACAATTCTTAAGTTCCACGAGAGTAACAGTAAACATAGAGAAACCAACACTTCCTCCACCCCATCATGGTATCCCTCAAAAAGGAAAATTGGAAGAAACCAAAAGACCCAAGTCCAGTGAAAACTGGACATAGTGAAGAAAATCAAATTCCTTTTAAAGAACACTGAGAGGGAACAAAGACATTAAAAGAAAACTCTATCCCACCCCGTCCCATCAAGAAAGGAAAAGAGAAGGAAAGATGATTTCGACTGATATACATTACCTGAACTCAGATAATACACTACAAAAATATTAAAAGTACTCTAAGTAGGAAAACAGCAAAGAAAACATTATTTTCTTCTACTCCACAAGATGAAGGATGGCATGCATTTTAACAGTATAGAGACTAAAGTACATCTGAAAGCCACAATAGATAGTTAAGATATATATGTGAAATCGATTCAAACACAATGCATTATGCAGGACCATGACAACTAGCTAGACAAACTACTGATCCCAATATGTTGAACTACCACCATCAACTCCAGCTACCAGAATTAAGGCTCATTGCTAACATAAGATCCTCAAATATCAGGCTCTACTAAAAGGTAGTCCCCCC